GATAGATAACTTCAGTCTTAGTGAATTAATTATTAGTCTAGTGTAGACCATCCTAGCACAGTAAATATAATTTATTACCAAAGGACTCGATAGGTGAATCTCTCAACAAATTTGCTTTGCATCTAGCAGACGAAAAATGTAAGAGTGAGGTAAATTTTTCAGCTTTTAGGTAAAGTATTAAATGTTAACACAGGTAAACACACATGCACATGTGCACGCACATATACCCAGAGGAACACAAAAATTCTTATATGCTCTCGCAAATGGTACAGTTTATATTTGAAAATAAATGAACATAAAATGTAATATTTTAAGTACACACAGAGTGTTTTGTAGCACTTGAAGTCTTCTTTACCTATTGAAATAGAAGAGATTCTACAATAGGAGAAAAAAATTACCTGAGATCAGGATGCTGCTTCCTGGATTGGGATAAGCACAAGGAGTAGATGTGTGCTTTAGCCTCCACACATCTTTTTTTTGGGCAGTTGGGGTTAAGTGACTTGCCCAGGGTCACACAGCTAGTAAGTGTCAAGTGTTTGGTCTGAGACTGAATTTGAACTCAGGTCCTCCTGACTTCAGGGCTGCTATATCCACTGTGTCACTTAGCTGCCCCTGCCTCCACACATTTTGCCTAAATATTTGTCCTCAGACTTCCCTGGGAAAAAACAACAATAACAACACTTCCCCCTTTCCTTTTTTTTCTTCCTCATTTTGACAGGGAGAGATGGTTTCTTACCCTTTCCCATGTGACTCCTCCTAAATACTATACACCAGAATGAAATTACCAGGCATCTTAGAACCTTACTCCCTAACCTAGTGTAGGGCCTTATTCCAGCCCACCCTTCAGGAAGAAGGAAAATCTTAGATTGAGTTCAGTTCAGCAAACATTCATGAGGCAATTATCAGGCTAGCTCCTTGGAGAGTTGCAAAGTTTAGGTGTGTCTTATAACTGATTGCTAGAATATTTGTGGTTATGAATCTAATCAGTCCTTTTGTCCTTCTCTGTGTGTTTTCACATGTTCCAGAAGCTTATTGGGCAATACATCATATACACTAGTTAATTAGAGAAGTTAAGGATTGGTTCTTGTTGTTTTTGACCTTATTTGGCATTAAACTGTTTTCTCCATATTAACTAATTGTAAAAATTATTTAATATTAAGATTTACTTACAGCCGGCATTTATTTGAATGATTAATTAGGGTTGCACAAACACTAGGTATAGGCCAGCATTTAGGTCTCCATGAAGATTTACAGACAGTAATGGAAAAAGATTCCATACTTTTTTTTTTGTTTTCCTTTTTTAAAAAAAATTAATTCAATTGTACAAGTATTTATTATCACCGGTTCTCTTGTGCAAGGCACTCGGCATACAAAGAAACCACAAAATAGCTGTGCCCTAGCATTCTGTTGGGGGGACCGTGACACATGCAGTGAAAATTACATAAGTAAATACAATATATCGTTGTTTGTCCTTCATTTCTGAAGAGAACCAGTGGCATCCTGGGTGATGACTTGACCTGCATGTGAATTGGATTTAAGTGAAGCAGAGGTGCACAAAGTCATCAGCCTCACTCTGTCTTCTTGAGTAAGTGAAGTCCAGTGGCAGGACAGGAGTCAAGATAACTGGCAATGGGCCAGGATGCAGTGGGTGACCTTGGTGTCTTCAATGCCTGACCAGTCTCTAAGAGCTCCACAGCACCTGCTTCATCTGCCCTCATAGCCATTGGAGCAAATTTCTCCTCTGCCCATTCTGCTAGGGAAAGTTTTCATGTGCTTGTGTAGACATCCCCCTAATTCCTTACATGCTTGGAGTATACCTTTACCTATTGAGATAGAAGAGACCATCATAGGAGAAAAAATTGCCCGAGATCAGAATGCTGCTTCCTAACTCACCAGCAGGTTTGAGGCCTGTCAGTTACCCTTAATCTGATTTAGCCCCTCTGTCCAGACGGTTTACCAAAGTGTGGCCGCTGTGCATGCTGTAGCTTCCTGGAGCCAAGGTGTGAGTTGGATGAATCAGGTGGACATCTGAGGTAGATGATTAGCCCTGAAAAGATGTCAGCAAGCCCTCACTTTAGAGGTGGTCCTCCTGAATGTCCCATACACCCTCAATACAATATATAGAATATATATGAAGCAGTTTAAAATAAAGGGCTGTTTATTAGCAACAGAACAGTTTCCAGAGGCCAAAATGGAATTGAAATAGGAACACAAGAGGGATGTGGTGTACATAGCTGGGTGTGAGGGAGCAAGCATTGGTGGTGTTCAGGGAAGGGAGCTTCAATCTAGACAGGCTACATCCCAAAATCACAGAGATGAGTGGAGGCCCAGTAGACCCTTATATCCTTCAAGGTAGCAGAGGTAATGTTGATATAATGATTAATCCTCAGGGAAAATGTGGAAGTGTATACATGTGGCAGCAAGGCAGATGTCCAATCTTAGGTCTTTCCTGATGGTCAAGGCCAGGTCAGTGGAGTCTCTGATAAATTTTTCTTTAACATTTACTAAAATCTGGTAATAAATGGAAAATATTTCTTTCTCTTATGGTAGATTGCAGCCAAGGGCTTTACTTTAGATTTTTGATACTGTACCATTTCACTTTAGATTTATTCTGTTAGATTCAGAGCAGGGTCTTTTAACTGAGCTCTTCAGCCTTGTTTTAGGGAGATTGACTTCTGTATTAATGTCACCTTTGGGTTAGCACTTTGACAGATCATTCTGTTCTGTATTCACCTTGGCAACTTGATTATATTTTTAGTTTGACATTTTGTTATTGTTGGTTGTTTTCAGTCATTTCTGGCCAAAGATAATTGGGGTGGTTTGCCTTTTCCTTCTCCAGCTCATTTTACAGATGAGGAAACTGAGGTAAACAGGGTTAAGTGACTTGCCCAGGGTCACACAGTTTGTAAGAGTCTGAAGCCAGATTTGAAGTCAAGAAGATGAGACCTCCTGACTCCAGGCCTGGCACTCTGTCCACGGTGCCACTTAGCTGTCCCTGGTTTGACAATAGGCTACCTGTTATCCATATCCTATATGTAAACAAGTCAAATCATTTTTCTCATTCCTTCTGTAAGTATGTGTGTAGATACGTGGCTATTTTGTTTCAAGTATCACTGTTCTTCCTTTATTTTTTTCCATCTGATTAGATACGTAATTTTGGCTTTGCCAGTTACTTTGCCAGTTTCTGTGATCTTGAGCAAATCACTTACCTCCTTTGGGTCATTTTCCTCATTTGTAAGATGAAGGAGTTGGACTGAACGATGGCAAAGGTCTGTTCCAGTCCATGATTCTTTTATTTTCGTCTCTTCCTTATATTTAAAGGATACACCAAGGTATGTGGTAATTTTTCTTTTTTGCCTCGTGGAGCAGCTGAAAAGCATCTGATTAAACTATGAGTCATTTTTTATTTTATTTTTCTAAAAGATGTATTTTTAAAAAATGCATCTTTCCGTAAGACTAAAGGAAGACACCCAATAGTCTATTTTTGGGGGTCTAATGCAACCATTAGTTGATAAGTTTTCATGAAATGGTTTCATGATTAACCATATGTAACCATAGTTGACTCAAGCTTTATAACCTCCCTTCCCCCCTTCCCTTATGCTGGTCGTGAATTACTCATGAAACTGCTTTACAAGACTTAAAATAGAAACAGAACCAAAAATAAGAAGAAAAAATCTGTTCTTTCTATTAATGAGTAATGATAGGTCAATGGAGTTAATGTTAGCATGAGTATGTAGCAGAGTATACAAATCACAGAGCAAAGGATGAGACAAGAATAGCATACTTGCCTATTGAGTAGTTTTCATTTTTGCTCAACAGTATTTCAGACTTTGTGAACATAGCTTTGTGGCTTATTTTTATATTTGAAAATGCGGTGGCTAATAATATCATTTATCACCTGTGTGAGTTTGTGTGAAACAGAAGGAATGCCGTTAGTTCCTTTTTTCCTTTTGCTTGCATTGAAATACCACTCATTGGTTTTGTAGTTGATGCCATTGTTTACGGAACCCTTTGATGTCTGTGGTGCTGCTACTGCTTTACCAAAAATCAGACCTTACTCTTTGATTGCTTCCTGCCAAGATGGTCTTTTCAAGTATTCCATGATTATGCTTATCATGTGATGTTAACTGTGGGTTTTTTTCTAGCCTTTCTAATATTGAAACATGTAAGAGAATGAAAATTTCTTTAAGGTTTTCTCTAAACAATGAGAATGATAATCTAAAATAACCTTCAGGTCAATGAGGAAAAACATTGTACTCATAAGACAACTGAAATTTTGTTAGTGCTATCAATTTGAGATTAGCTAGAGTTGTCTCAACCAATTAAATCTGCCCAGGCCAGCTAGATATTGAGACTTTTCAACATTGTAGCCACTTTGTATTTTCCCTTTTTTGTCTTGGGGGTGTCCCTTTCCGGGGTTGATTTGGCCAGAAAAATGAAATCATGTCATGGCCGGACTGGTGATTTAACCCCTGCACATTAAATTAGGTTTGTTTCCAGATTATAGACATACATACAAAAATCTTCAAATACGTTAGCCTCAGAGTATCCAAAGAATATCGCTGGCCGGATTAAAAGTAGGCAGCAGCCTGGCTCTGGACTAGAAGCCTTGGGTTCAGTTCCTGATTTTGCTCCTTAAAATCTGTGTGACCTAAGTCAAGTTAAATTTACTTCTCTGGGCCTCAGTCTTCTCATCAGTTATTAGACTGGATTATCATTAAGTCTGTGTGGCTCTGAATCCTGTGATCATACATGAAGATTCCATGATACTCCCTTGCATATAAGTAATCTGTGCCTTTTTTACTTAGTACTTTTGATTATTTTATTTGCCTGAAAACTTTCTCGGAAAGATATGCCATTTAGTGCTTTTTTAGAGTGGCGACGCAGATTTTATACGCGAGTATGACTGCTCATCAGCATTTCTGAAGATTAAATTAGTGCATGAATTTTTATTTATTGTTAAATAACATGTGTGATATGTTTGTGTTTTTCCGCAATAGCTTTTGGAACTTTTTGACAGTGAAGATCCTCGAGAACGAGACTACCTAAAAACAGTCTTACACAGAATTTATGGCAAGTTTCTTGGTCTTAGAGCATTTATCCGAAAACAGATTAACAATATTTTTCTACGGTAAGTAGTGAGGGGAGAGAGAAGGAAGAAGAGTTTAGGGCTTTCATAGGAATATTAAGTAAACTCGACACATTTAGCTAGTTAGCCTGAGAACTTTACTACTATTTTTTCTGTTATAGGTTTGTTTATGAAACTGAACACTTCAATGGAGTAGCTGAACTGCTGGAAATATTAGGAAGGTAAGCACTTTTTGATTTAATTGCTAATCTCAGTTGAATAGCTGTTCTGAAAATTAGAGTCAAGTGGCAAAACTGAAGTGCTGATTTAGATAAATCTTGCTGTAAATGACTTCTTGTTTGAATTAGCTTGACTAATATCAGATTTTTTTCCCTTAATCACTTTGCTTTACAGTTTTTGTGTTGATAGTTTCATTTCAGTGATGAAAACAGGTACTTTAGTTTATTGTAGTGACAGCTGTTTAACCAATGGTCTCTTTATTTGCCAAAGGGCCATCTTATTCTTGTTAGTTTCTGGGCCAGCTTGTCTGTTGACACATTTGTTGAAAAATTGAAGGACAGGGGCAGCTAGGTGGTACAGTGGATAGAGCACCAGCCCTAAAGTCAGGAGGACCTGAGTTCAGATCCTGCCTCGGACCAAGCACTTGACATTTACTAGCTGTGTGACCCTGGCCGAGTCACTTAAACCCAATTGCATAAAAAAAAAAATAAAAAATTAAAGGGCACAAGTAAATAAAGGAATAAAAAGATTGCTATTCTCAAAGGAACAATATGCACACAACTGGCTCTTGAACAGCTGCCTTCAGTTGTGGGATGGATTTGTTATTTAGAGGTTTCTTGAGGCAGATTAATGTAATTTATCTGTATTGTGTTGTTTTCGAACTGGATGATGTAATTGACTTTTCCCATTCACATTAGGAGAAAATAATGTGAGGTCTTGACTCATGAACCATAAAGGTGTTACGGGGTTGGGAAGAGAGGAGACAAGACGTGTGAAAGAGGGAGAAAGATGAATTGAGAGGGCCATATTCAGAGAGGAAATGAGCAGCACAAGGGATTCTTTGAAGGAAGGGAATGGGGAGCGAGGGATCTTTAGGTGGAAAGAGCATTTGGAATCTCCTGTAGTGATTAGATAAGGAAGCTTTTGCATAGAATGAAGAACAGATCTTTGTCTTTTACTTTATATTAGTCTTCCTTACCAGTGAAGAGAAATTTGCCAAACTCCCCCCCACCCCCCCCCCCCCCCCCCCCCCCCAAGCTTGGGCACTTGGGGTTAAGTGACTTTCCCAGGGTCACACAGGTAGTAAGTGTCAAGTGTTTGGTCTGAGGCCACATTTGAACTCAGGTCCTCCTGACTTCAGGGCCGGTGCTCTATCCACTGTGCCACCTAGCTGCCCCTAATTTGCCAAATCTTGATCTTGAATTCTAGTGTCTTTTTTTTTGCATTGTTAATATTTTTGCCAATGAAACTGATTCATTCTTATTATTTGGTAGATAATCTGTTGTGGTAACGTTGCTAGTTTTGATTTCTTTTCTCTTCTCCTAGTATTATCAATGGCTTTGCTTTACCTCTTAAGGCAGAACATAAACAGTTTCTGGTGAAGGTGTTGATTCCTTTACATACAGTCAGGAGCTTATCTCTCTTCCATGCACAGGTAAAATATTTTAAAGTGGTGTTTCATGTGGCTGCAGTAGAATGTCTTGATATTTAAAAAAACTATATTGTCACTTAAAAAACTTGCTAAAAATTTCACTTGCAAATTAGTTGTAGCTATATTGGAATCATAGACTTTTTTAGTGCTTGAAAGAACCTTAGAGATGGCCTAGTGCAGTTCCTTCATTTTGCAAGAAACTGAGACAATAGATTAAGTAATTGTGATCCTCAGAGTCGTACAGTTGCTTATTAAACATAGAGACTTCATTATATTATAACTTGTGTGAATAAAAGGATCTCAATCTTAGATACGCCAACAATATTCTTTAGCCTGTATTTTCTCCTCTCTTGTAGTTACCTCACTATTTCCCTTCCCTTTATAAGGAGGTATGCAGACGCAAATGTTCTTTGATCTGCCGTCTGTCTTCCTGTCTTTTCTGTCCTACTTTTATCACTTTCAAAAGTCACATCCTCTCATTATCTGTCTTGTACATCTTCTAATTTATTTGCTAAGTTATTTTTCATACTCAGCATGTCACTAAAGGGGTTGCTAATCTTAGTAGCTTTTTAATTCTGTATCAAAATTCTGTTTCTTTCTTCCCCATCCCATCCCCCATATTTGAGTTTGACTAAATATATGATACATTTTTCCAAGTGCTTTTCTTCTTTAAATGTTAAATCCCTATATCAAGGAAATTTTAGCCCATGTGTTTTTAATTTATCTTTAAATCTTGTTTCATAAGGATAATAGCTTTTCAAAAAATTTTATGAGCACTTCCTGCAAATCCTCTTTTTTGTCTTTGGAACGCAAAATCACATTTAATAAGCATATAAAAGAATGTTTATCCTAAATGAATTTACTTCAGACTCAGAGCTCAGGATTTCATCAGGTCCTGTCTATGCCAGACACTTCATTTTTCTGCATACCAAAGTGATAGAGTTTTGCTTATGTTCGTCAGCAACATTTTTGATAAGTTCCCATTACTATAGCATTATTTTGGTACCAAAGCAAATTACTATTTTGTTAGTGTTGTCAGAGATAGCAAAAAGGCACTGTTGCAGGATCTTTGTTCAACAAAGATCTCTCGGATGAAGTTCAGAGAATTTAAGAATTCACTGGAATGTGACTTTTTTTTCTTCTTTTCATTGCATAACCTGTAACCAGTACCCTGATTGTAGTACCCTGTTTCCTAAGGCTCTGTCGTGGTCCCTCTTCTCTCCTCTCTCTACACTTTCTCTTGGTGACCACATTAGCTTCCATGGGCCGTAATTATCTTGATTTAGATGACTCGGTATATACCCAGCCCCAGTCTCCCCTCAGCTTCAGACCTGCCTGTTGGACGTTTCACACACTGTATTCCAGAGACGTCTCAAGCTCAGCACGTCCAAAACAACTTACTGTGTTTCCGCTTTCCAAGGGTGGGGACCCTGCGACCTCAGTTTCTTAATCACCTCAGACCTTTCCTTACTCCAGTCTGTCCTAACACAGTGCTGCCAAAATAATTATCCTTGAGCACAGATAGGACCATGTGGCTCCTCTTCATAATCTTGTCCCAGCCTGCCTTCTCAGCCTCCATTGGCTGCTGCTCTTCTTCTCTCCCTCTCAAATTCTAATACTACATTTCCCATCTCTGTGCCTTTACGCTGGATGTCCCCCCTGCCTGGAATGCAGTACCGTATTTCTGCATCATAGAATCCCTTTCTACCTCCAAGACACAGCCCAAGCACCATCTTGTACATGAAGCTCCGGTTGCTAAAGCCCCCTCTCAATCTTTTATTTAACTGCTTTGTATTAAATTTGTAAATACTTACATATCTACATGTTGACTCCCCAGTTAAAATGGAGGGATCGTCCTGTACTTTATTTGTGTCCCCAGGACAGTGCCTAGCGCACAATTTGTAGATGCTTAATAGATGCTTGTGGATTGATGGATTGAACCTTCCATGTGACCTGGAAGTTAGTAAGCTTATATGTGTACATGACCTTTTTTTCTTTTTCTTTTTCTTTTTCTTTTTCTTTTTCTTTTCTTTTTCTTTTTTTTTTTTTGCCACAAACTTTCAATTCTCTCTAGTATGTTGGATCTCAGTTTCCCTTATCTGTAAGAGGAAGTGATTTTTATAAGGCTTCTTTTCGTCTTAAGATGCAAATGTCTATAATTTTCTTTCCACTAGAGTCTGGTAATAAAAATGTCTTATTTTTAAAAATGCGCTTCATTTTATATTTTTCCTATACTGAGTTAAGGTAAAATTTAGTAAACAGAGCATTAAATATTAACACTGTGTACTTCTAAGTTTTAAAAAGAGCTTTTTGGAGTTCTTAGTAAAGAATACTTGTGATCTGATATTTTCCTTTTCTTTCAGTTGGCATATTGCATAGTACAGTTTTTGGAGAAAGATCCTTCACTCACAGAGCCAGTAAATATTACTTTGATACTTTTTGCAATTTGAAATTCCTTTTCTCTATTGCTGTGGATTTGAAAAATTAAGTGTTCTTTTTCCTCTCCTCCCATTTAGGTTATTAGAGGGTTAATGAAATTCTGGCCTAAAACATGTAGTCAAAAGGAGGTAAGTTCTTATCAGTATGTAAGTCTCATAGTCCTAAGTCAGACCTAGCAACATATTTGTGATGGTTTTGCCTTTCCTGGTGGTTTCCTTTTTTTGACAGAATTCTTAATGTTACCTACCGTAGAAAAACATCTGAAATGTATGTCTCCCTCCAAAAAAAGTTCACAAGTATGCAGAAAATTTCTATTATGTCATTATGGAAGGATTGTCATAGACATTACATTTTAATTTGCTCCCCCTTGAAGTAATTTTCATATTTTCCTTTGAAGTTATCTTAAAGATGTCTAATTCATGTCACTTAACAGTTATCTTTGCATCTCAGTACCTAAGTATCTAAGGGTTGCCAGATTAACATAGTTTAGCAATTAACAAGCGTTTATTAAATGCCTAATGTGGATTAGGCACTATATTTGGCAAGGTAAATACAGAAAGAAAAATGGAAAAGATCCCTGCTGAGATAACCAACATGCGCTTATGTCAATATATGCAGAATAAATACAAATAACATAGCTTATCTACTACTACTACTACTACTACTACTACTACTACTACTACTACTACTACTACTACTACTACTACTACTACTACTACTACTAGGAGATTCACTGTCCACTGTAAATTCTTGTGTGTGTGTGTGTGTGTGTGTGTGTGTGTGTGTGTATCAGAGTTTCTGTAGATATTTGTACTAGATTGAATGCCTTTCAATGTTTATATAAATATATATTTCTCATTTCCCTAGAGCAGCCGCCTTTAAAACTGTCCAGCACCTCTCAAAAATGTCCTCATGATAATTAACACATACTTGCCACATATTATAGTGCTAGCCCTGATCTTGTGACAAAAGAAGAAGGTGATGTGATGGCAGTTAGTAAAGGTCTTCTGTGGCAATGTGTGCCTGCTGTGATAACAGTGTAGGTTTACTTGTTAGTAATATGAGATGATAATATGTCACTGCAATGTTTCATGTATTTTTTTTTTGCAAATCATTTTCAAGTTTTTAGCTTAATTTGAAAAGGTATCATATGTCAAACACTTTGTAAAGTGAAACACACACATACCACATGCCTTAGTGTTTTTTTCTTCTTTTATACAAGTTTTAATATACAAGATTTTCTTAAAACAGACCGTATGTGTAATCACATTTTCAACATCTAGTAAAATTCAATATAAAGATCTTGAAAATTTGTATTTAGCATGTGCTTGTTTTCTAGGTCATGTTCCTTGGGGAGCTGGAAGAAATTTTGGATGTGATTGAACCTTCACAGTTTGTTAAAATTCAGGAACCATTGTTTAAACAAATTGCCAAGTGTGTATCTAGCCCTCACTTTCAGGTCAGTGACGGAGAGGACCCACTTTTTGTTTTTTTGCTTGTTTGTTTGTTTTTTTGCTTGTTTTTAACAGCAAGATATAATATCCAGTGGCCTGTAGACAGTGGAATTGTTTTGGTTAAGTTTCCTTTCTGTGAGATAGAAGTAGAATAGATTTTAGGAACCCATGATTTGATTGACATTTTTTGTCTTTGTAGGCAGTTATATCATTGGAAAGATCAGTTACAGCTCATACAGTATATAGCCACATTCAGTAGGAAAAAAGCACTTTCTAATGTCTTTGGGGCCATATGCCAGGAAGCGGAGGGCAATAGAAACTTACTAGAACCCCATCTAGGCTTTTAGTTTGAACAAAGAATAGCATTGGAAAATAGATTTGTGATGGAGAAAGTTCTTTCTCGGCTGATAAAATGTTGGGTTTTGTTGTTTATTTCATACAATTTAGAGCTAAGAGAGACCTTAGAGATCATTTTCTGTACCTCCTTCTGTTTATGGATTAGGACTTAACTTTCCCAAGCAGGTTAAGTGATCGAGGTCATCTGGGAAGTTAGGAAGCAGAGGCAGGGGAGAGGGATTCAAACCCAGGTTATCTACTTCCAATGCTAGTGCTCTTTCTGTTACACTGCTCTGTCTTTAAAGGGCCTTTAGTGTCATTAAAATTGGACAAAAGACACATTTCAAACTGACAAACCTGACAAAGATTAACTCCCTGTCTGAATCATGTTAATTATGTTAAATTTGTTTCATAGCATCCACTCTAAGAGATATTCTCTTTTCTTTAACTTCAACCATTCTTCCCAATTTGGAGATATTAATTAACAATTGGGGTTTTATTTTTGGTTGGAGTGCTCAGAAGGCATAGTATATTTATACCATCTTATGATAAGATCACAGCACAACAGTAAGGTGTGTATAGGGACAGTATAATAACACCTTCTGTCTACCTAATATCTAGGTGAAAATAGATTTCAGTCAGATATGTGGCTGTTAAAAGCATGCAGGTCACCTTATATATCATACATCTGGATTTTGGATAGAATTTTTCAGTTTCTGTCAGAATTATTGGTCCTCTGTAGATGAGTTGGCAGTCTCTTAGCACAAGTGTCTGGAGGACTAACATTCAGAGTTAGTTGAGGCTTGTTAGGAAAAAATATGGACGACAAGAAAACCAATTCTTTTGGTAAGGAGGAGGAAGGGACGTATTACCGGATTTTCCCCTTTCATTTTAGGGATCAAAGAAGGAAGAAGTCTGCCACTTGATATAGATGAAATACTGATAACTAATTACCAAGAGAAGGCAGAGCTGTTTAACTCTTATTTGCCTTTCTCCTTGTCGTGGAGAACAGTTTTCGGATTGGTAGGGGCAGAGCAAGAATGACTAATAGGATGTCAATATTCAAGACATGTCGGTGGTAATAAGAGAATACCTAACTGCCAATCATTTTTATATCACCAGACCCAGAGGAACTACATCCCTAGATGAAAGAACTGATAGATGCTATTATGGAAGCATTGTCAGTAATCTTTGAAAGACTGTAGGGAATGGGGGAAATACAATGAAATTAGAGAAAGGTATATACCCCAATTTTCCAAAAAGGAAGAGAATGAAGTCAGTAAACTGCAGGTGAGTGAGTCTGACTTCAATTCATGGAAAAATTCTAGAAAGTATTATGATAGGAGCCAGTGTTACAAACTCTTCTTCAAACAGATCTAGAAAATGTACTAGACTGAATCTTGATGGGGAAATCCAAAAAAAGTCACAGTGAGACCGGTCCAGTTCAGCATTGGGAAACAGAAGAGGGATCTGTGGATTGGGGATGGGATCGGTCCACATGTGAACACTCCAATACCCAGAGAGAGGCTGTGCACCAGGACAAAAGAAAAGCCTAGATCTTTCCAAGGGCACCTCCAGATTCGTACTGGGCCCCTGTGACAAGAACAAGTAGTAACTTGAAGCTTTAACATGCATTTTCCAGTTCTGAGTCACAGATCCAGGGTGGTCAGAAGGAGACCTGCACAGAGGAGTGATGTTCAAAGTAGGGAGACCCTGGGCTGTGTATGGAGAAAGGAGGACATTCTGAAACCAGCAGTGATGTAGCTCAGACACCAGGTGCAAAGCAGGGTCTCGTTCAAAGCATCTAGCCAAGCTGCAGAGAAATAATCAAGGCAGGAATTCCAGATGAAAGGGGAGCCTACAGGACCACTCTGAACCAACAGAGCTTTCCATCCACTAGGGGGTGGAATCTAACCCAGTCTACATTTGCATAGACTGAGATCCAGACCAGGAGCTTGCAGAGCTCAGATGAGGTGTGGGGACAGAAGAAGGGCAAGCAATCAGACTTTGGTCCTGGATCAGACCATTTAGAAGTATTGAATGCTCACAGTTTCCCAGCCCGTCCCCAAGAGCCTGGAATAACACAACACTTGATATCCCAAGAAATAGTGGCAGGTTCAGCCCAAACCTTCCCCTCCAGAAGTGTGGCAGAGATCAGGCCCAGCATCAGATCTGAAGTCAGGAAGTAAGCTGGAAGAATGGGCAAACAAAAAAAAAAGAACCCTACCATAATGAGTGATTCTGATAGAGGTGCTCAAGACATAAATGCAGAAGAGAATGACTCCAAAACATCTACAAGGAATGCCTCAGAGAAAAACACATCTTGTGCACAAACTGAGCTAGAAAGACATGAAGCAAGAATTTAAAAAAGAATTTTAAAATGTTTTTATAAGGGGCAGCTAGATGGCACAGTAGATAGAGTACCGGGCCTGCAGTCAGGAGGACCTGAGTTCAAATCTGACCTCAGAGCAGACACTTGACACTTACTAGCTGTGTGACCCTGGGCACGTCACGTAACCCCAATTGCCTCACCAAAAAAAAAAAGTTTTAATAAAGGGAAAGAGAATGCTCGAGATAAAAATTGGAAAAGAAACGAGAGCTGTAGAAGAAAGAAATGGAATGGGAAGTAAATGCTTAACAAGAGATACAAAACCTTGCCCAAGTAACAAACTGCCTGAAAATTAAAATGGAACAACTAGAAGCCAGTGACTCCATGGGGCAACAAATATTAACGTCAGAAAAAAATATAGGGTATCTTACAGCAAAAAGAACTAACATAGAAAACAGATTGAGGAGAAAAAATTAAGAATCATCGAACTGTCTGAATGCCAAGACCAAAAAAAAAGAGCCCAGACATCTTATTTCAAGAAACCTTAAAAAAAAAACCAAACTGCCCAAGTTTTTTAGAATCAGAAGGCAAAACGGAAATAGAATGCTCTAGGCACCTTCTAAAAGACACTCCCAAATGAAAATTGCCTGAAACGTCAGTCAAAATCCAGAGCTTCTATAGGTCAAAGAAAAAATACTGCTAGCAGCCAGGAAGAAAGAATTCAAATACAAAGGCGCCAAGTAATCAGGATTTAGGAGTAGACATCTATAGAAACAAGGAGGAAGGGGCGAAGGGGAGCAGCTGACCCTTGAACCTCAATCTCATCTGAACTGGTAAAAAGGAAGAATCCCTTCCTTCCCCTCAAACATGTTGGGAACAAAAACACATTTAGCAGGGAAAGAGGAGGGAAAGGGAAAAAGAGGGAGGGGGGAAACTAAAAGAAATGATGAATTAAGGGAAAGATTCGATCAAAACAAACTCCAAGGATGTATAAAAATATTTATAACTCTTTTTGGAAAAGGATGAGAATGTGAGAGGGTACTCATAAACTAGGAAATAGATGAGCAAGTTATGGTAGATAAATGTGATAGAATACTATTGTGCTGAACTCTTAGTGTAGCGACCAACTGGGATTCCAGAGGACTTATGATAGAACATGCTGCCCACCTCCTGATAGAGAAGTGAAAGATCCGGAATGAAGAGTGACAAATTTTTTGAAAATGGCCAATGTGGAAGTTTATTTTGATTGACCTACACATGTTGGTAAAGAGTTTTGTTTTTTGTTGTGTTCTCATTGAGGAGGGGGAATAGGGAGGTGAGAAGGTAGATCTTGACTGATTAAAACAATTTTTTTTAAAAAGAAATTATTATTAAAAGGATAATCAGTGAGCATAAAGAAAAGGAAGCAATGGTCACAAAGTCAGTTTGGACTAACCTTATTTCACTTTTGACCAGGGAGATCATGATGATACTATGGATAGAGTTTCCCTAATTTTAGCAAAGGAGTTGACAAAATCTTTTATAATAGGTATTCTTGTGAAGAAGATGAGTGATACAGGCTAGGTGAAAGTGCAGTTGGGGGATTTTAATGGGGCGGATGGCCAGAGTCAAATTAGTAATCGTTAATGGCAGGAAATCTCTAGTGGAATATCCCTGGCATCTGTGCTTAACTATGTGATGCTTAACATTTTTATCAGTAATTTGGTTGAGGACATGTGTGACATACTTATCAACTTTGCAAAGGATTCAGAACTGGGAGAAACAGCTAGTATGTTTTATGATTGAGTCAGTATGGAATGTTTGGCCAAATCTAATAGGATGAAATTTAATAGGGACGAATTAAAATCTCATACTTAGGTGAACAAATTCAGCTTTGCAGTTACAAGGATGAAGAAGGCTTGTCTATCTATCAGTTTGTCAGAAAAAACCCTGGGGTTCCTTAAGAGTCATGAATGTAATATGGTAGCTCAAGATTGTCGTTGTGATCCTAGGCTATCTAAAGAGAGGGTTAGTGCCCAGGATTAGCCAAAGTTGCCCTGGCCTCTTCCTTGACCAGGCCACATGTGATATTTTATGGTTAGTTCTGTACTTTATATTCGGAAAAACATTGATAGTATTGAGAAGTTTCAGAATTGGGCACCCAGGAATGTGAAGAACCTTGAAGTCATACCACATTGTGGTTAGTTGAAGGAACCGAGTGGGAATAGATAGCTTGGAAAATTTTAAGACTTTAGAGAGATGTTTGACGTATCCAGGTGTTTGAAGGACTGTCACTCAGAAGACGAATTAACCTAGTGCTGCTTGGCTTCCTAGAGAGTAGAACTCGGGTTAATAAGGGGTGGAAGATGCTAAGAGGTTTGCTGTAAAGAAAAACTTGGGGAATTAATGAATTTCCTTTCACTAGAATTAGGTCCTTAAGGAAAGGGCTGACTGCTATTCTTTAGGTATGTTGTAGAGGAATTCCTTTTTCAGCTGAGAGTTGGACTAGTTGAACTCTGAGAGCTCTTCTTACTCTTAGATTCTATGATTATGTATCCTTGGAGAACTGGGTTGGAGAGAACAGGTGAGGGTAGCACGTATTTAACCAACGTTCATAGATTTCAGCAGCTGAAAGTAATCTCTAATACGACATCTTATTCTTTTCGTATACTCTTGTGCATTAGTACTTTTAAATGTAGTCCTAATTTGCATATAATTATTTTTATATTAGTTTTAACTTCCTTAGTAGATTATAAAACTGATAAGTCAAGAGACTTTCTTTAACGCTTCTGTATTCTTAGTGTACATAGTACACTAAGTAGATTGTACATAGTAGATACTCAGTTGAATGAATTTCTCCCATTTCTATAATGCTTTATGGATGACAAAGCACTTTCTCCCCAATAGACCTTGATGTGAATAGTACAAGTTTTATCGTCCCTATTTCATATGTGAAAACTGAATTTCAGAGGTTATGTCACACAGCCAGTAAATAATGGCATTCCAGATCTTTTCACTCCAAGGCCGGTGTTCAATCTGGATAAATGCAAAGATGGTAATAATGGAAGAAAAAGAAAAGGATTGAGAGAATGCCAGTTTTATAAAATGAGAAAATACCATAGTTAAACACGTTGCAGATACAAGAGGGTAGTTACTTTTTTTTTTTTAACATACTGTCAGTTACTAATCTTAGTTTTTAGGTATTGCCTTTTTTCTTTACAGAACTTTTATAGATAGTAATTATTGCCCAGTGTGATTTCCATATGGAGAAATGGAAATAAAGAGACTGAAGACCTTTCCCAGAGCCAATTTGCAGGTTACTATTTTAATCAGACTTAAGGAAGTTCTAGTTTCCTGTTTTGTCCTAGTGTCAGTTCTTTTCTCTCTCAGGTTCCCCAACTATAACTTCAGAATACTGTATACTAAAAAAAAAAAAATGTAATTCTTCAGACTCTGTTGGGGGAGGAGGGGGTGGCATTAAAGCCTGGAAAGATGAACAGGTTGCTACCCCACCCTAGTATTTTGTTCTCACTTTAAATAGTTGTCCCTAATTTGTATAAGAGCAGGAAGTCACCGTATTTTTTCCCCACTCAGTCCCACTTTATAGATAATGTAGTATGCCTGCCCCAAATGAATTCTCAGGTTGGGGCAGAATATCAACTTGTACTGGGTAGAGTTGTACAAGACAGAGGGAGTTAGTGAGTACAGGGTAGTGGTTTGAAGAGTGCAATCGAATTATTTTGAAGATTATAAAGAGCTTAGAAGCAGGATAAATGGCATTTGAGACCAAAGAGTATTTACACGATAGTAACATGGAAGGTAATGTGACAGTAGGAAAGCACAAAGTCCTATTTTCCTTCTAAAATTCAGGAACCATTTAGGAATTTTCAGACATTTAAAATACATTCCCCAGTGAAGTAAAATGTTGTTAATATTTAATTTTGTATCTGATTTAAATATCATTGATTTGATTTTTTAGCAAGAAAAAGAAAAATGACCACCGTTAGGTGTTTAAGTACTTAAAAATGATAACATTTTGTTTTACCTTGGTCTTTTGCAAAGCCATTAGCTGATTTTTTTCTTTAGATATTTATTTTATTTTCCCTTTCTTCAAAGGTGGCAGAGAGGGCACTGTATTATTGGAATAATGAATACATCATGAGTTTGATAGAGGAAAACTCCAATGTCATCCTTCCCATCATGTTTTCCAGTCTCTATAGGATTTCCAAAGAACATTGGAACCCGTAAGTTTTAGTTCAGGATTTCGCCTTTTTCAGTTCCTTTAAGAGCTGGTTATGTCACTCCTTATCTCAGAAAAACTCAGTGGCTTCCTATTATCAAGTAAAGTTCAAAGTCTTTTTTTTGCCTGGCATTGAAGACCTTCCCTCCACAAGCTGGTGCCACCCAACCTTTCCAGGCTTATCTTTCTGTTCCACTACATTTACTGTATAATTCAGCTGAAGCGGACATGTCTGTCCTTGGATATTCCTCCTTGCTTTCCTCCCTTAGTGCTTTGGTTCTCACTATTCCCTGGCCTCTGATGCCCTCACTTCCCCGTTTTTCCTCATTCAATTCCTGCCTGTCCTTTAAAACCCAACTCAGATGCTGTTCCTCCATGACATTTTTCCTTGATCTTCTGGCGCGTGCGCCCCCCCCCACCAGACATTAATGACCTTTTTTTCCCACTCCCACCTCTTAAAGACTTTGTACCTCTCTAATGTGTCTGTCACGTGTTATTTGGAATCTTTGTGTATGTGTCATATCTCCCTGTTAGATAACAGCCTCTTTTATGGGAGAGATGATCTTCTATAGGCCTTGCACATCCTCTGCCACTGAGTGCTGTAGAGCCATACTTGGCACAAAGTGGGCACTTAATAAATCTTGAATTAGATTGACTTTAAGCCTCCTGGATGCATTCCTTTTGGAAAGTCCATAGGGGAAAAGTTATGATGTAAAATATTCAATTATAGGTTTAAAATTCACTTGGGTGTAAGTGAAAACCAGGTTTGATTTTTATTAGCCTTCATATTTGTATTTAAAGCAATTTCATGCCATGAAAACATCTCAATTGGTAGTTAATCACTAATTTTGGCATTTTTAAAAAAAGAAAATCAGTATATGTATAAATAAGAATCAACATATTAAGAAAATCATTTAGGACATTCATAGTATGTCTTTAAGAGTTTCACATGGAAATTTTCTTAATCCCATTTTCCTTTGTATATACTTACCAAGTTACATTTATAAAAATTGTTTTATAAGATAATAATAGCTATGATACTAGCATTTATGTAGTGCTTTAAGGTTTGCAAAACACTTCACAAATATTATCTCATTTGATCCTCACAACAACCCAGGAGGTAAGTACTATTATTACCATCTCCATTTTACAAATGAGGAAAATAAGGTAGGCTTAAGTGACTTCCCCAGCATCACACAGCTAGTAAATGTCTGAGGCAGAATTTGAGCCCTGGTCTTCCTGACTTCAGGTCTGGTGCTCTGCTAGCAAAAAATCCACAAATGTCACTTATGCAGTCTTAAGATTTTAGAGCTACGAGAAACCTAACACATCTTTTCTAAGTTCATTTACCCGATGAGAAAAGTGAGGCCTAGTTAAGTAACTTATCCAATTTCTCAACAGTTTTCCAGCTTAAGGCTTCCTTCCTCTTTCAAGTGCCAACTTAACCTACTGGGGACATTGGGAGCAGAAATCCTGATTTGTTAGAAATTAATTGAATGTCTGGTTTCTGCCCTTGAATGCTTGCTTGTTCTTCGTAGTGATAAGTTTGGGGCAGTAAGCATGTGTGTTCCTTTTCCCCCATTGCCCTTGACCTAGACTGGAATATTCTTCAGAACCAGACAGAGCTTATGTTGTCTCTTGGAAGTACAGAGAAACAAAAGCTTAGCCCCCAGTATGCTTAAAAGTAAAAAGTTGAAACTGGATACTGCATTAATTTAGCACATAACTTAACAGTAACGGCAGGCATTTATATAGCAGTTTGCTAAGTGCTGTATATAAATGCATTATCTCATTTGATACAACAATCCTGTGAAGTAGGTGCTAGTATTATAATCATTTGACAAATGGAAAAACTGAGGCTATGAGAGGTTAAATGATTTTTCCCAGAGTCACACAGTAAGTGTCTGAGGCAGGATTTTAACTCAAATCTTCCTGTCTATAAGGCCAGTATTCCATTCATTATACCAGCTAGCTTCCTAGATTAGTTTGTGACAGTACATTTTTTTCTTTGACATTATTGTTGGAAGATAGAAATTATGCTTTAGATATCGTATATTGATGCTAAAGCTATTTGTGTTTAGATCCCAGTTTTGTTAGCACATAATATAAGTCAGCTAGCCTTCATGTTTCCTGACCACAGGCAGCAATCTGAATCTTGGCTGTGTGTCTCACAAACATATGTCATTGGGTCACAGAGGAGGAGATATGGAACAAGAGCAGATGGATTGGAGCCAATCTATTGCCATCACTATAAAACTCATGCTTATACCCTGCTGACAAAGTGTCAGCACCATCATCATTGAGTTGGCAAATTCATTCATCTTTTTGAATCTCGTCTTTATGGAAGTGAATTTCACTTTTTGGAAATTCTATAGATTATCATTTAAAGGCTAAATATTTTTGCAAATCTGAGACTCCACAGTTTGGATCTCTCATCTTTACTTACTTTTAGGAGGAAATTATTTAATGTCAGTATTTGTCTCATATTACTAAATTCCCCTATGTATAGATTTCCTCTCTGTGCCTTCCTAGGAACATCCCATTTTTTGGCATGGAGGAGTCACACCTGAAATTCTTTCACTTTACCAGGTCTGTAGGGTGATCTTATTAGTTCCTGGCTGAATGAGTTCTCTCTTTGGGTAGTGAAGAGCAGAATTGTAGATCACTTCTAGTTGTACCAGCTGGAATGTGATAGAGACAGAGATATAAATTAGAAAAACTCATCCAAATGAAAATATTTCTCTGGATTAATTTATCACAGTGTTAAATAAGACCAATTAACAAATAACTCTCTCCTCTGTGTTTTACAGGGCTATCGTGGCTTTAGTGTACAATGTATTGAAGGCATTTATGGAAATGAACAGCACCATGTTTGACGAGTTAACAGCCACTTACAAGTCAGATCGCCAGCGGTAACTCTTTAAAGCTTTTTTGTCAGCTGTGCATAAGGTCCCCTATTTAGTTCTTGCCTTATTCTTTTGCTCAGATTGCCTGATTTAACCTACAGTCAAATGCAGCCCCCTGTCCCTTTTTTTTTGCATGTTCATTAGCTTTGTCCTTGTGGGATGCCAAATAATATCATGCATTGATGTGTTTTGTGCCCAGTGAAATACAGTACCTGTCCTCACTTTGTGAATATGTAATCTCTCAGGCTTGTTTTTTAGCCCTTAGTTTGACAGAGAGCTAAATGCAGCAAATTCTGCATTTAGGTTTTCATTTAGTCCTGAGATCATGACCATGGAATAGATCTTCTCTGTAGTATTCCGCCGTGTCTATTGGTCATTCCATTTTAAGACTTTCAGGCAGTTTGGTTCTTGGGCTGGCCTGAGGTGTTGGGTTGACTCCAGCCTATCCTTTCCAAGGGCCTATAGACAGGATCCAAATCCTTTTAATTCAGAATTGCCATTTTGTGAGGGAAAAACCTACCCATTTCTCTGTAATCCCTGTCTACCTCAGCCCTACCCTTTAGACTCACCTGTGTTGCTCTGTGTTTCCTTTCCACTGTTTTCTATGACCCCTGTTCTATCATTAACAAATTTTTCTTCATCTTATACTTCTTCCTCTCAGTCTGCCCTCTTGCAGTCACAGAAATTTGATTTCCCCAGAAGACGTTCAGTTCATCCCTGACCATCCTGTATGGTACACTCTTTGTCATTCCTTCAACTTCAGCTGTTGTCCCAACGTGTTGAGCCTGGAGGAACAGACCTATTCCTTAATTCTTACTTGCTGCTTTGGGATGAGCCCTCTGCCTCCATTACTCAGCAAACACTGTTCCTTTGAGGTTTATTCCATTTGGTCTTATTACAGTTTAGATTTAGATTCTTACTTCACTGCCTTACCTCTCAGCCCATACCCCAGGTCATTCTCCCATTTTTCTCAAGGGGTTTGGAACCTAGCTCCCAGTTGTCTTCTCTGCCTTGAACTCTGACCTGATACATTCTTTTTCCCTGAAACACTCTTTCTCCTAGCTCATCAGACTCCCACTGCCTATATGTCTGTTCTGCTATCGCCACCAGATGGGCTACTCATATCCCTGATCTTACCATCACCTGTTTTTCTCCTAGAATGCTGAAATTGTTTACTGATCTTCTTATTCTCTCATTTCCTTCTGTCTTACGCTTCCTAAATTATTCTTTATTTTCACAGTAACAGTAACTGGAATTTAATCCGGTAAGAATTTATTTATTAAGAACCTGCTATATGCCAGGTGTGGAGGATGCAAAGACAAAACAGCAGAAGCATTCTCTGTCCACAGAGAGCTCACAGCCTTGTTCTCCTTGTCTGTCAATGCTCTGGCCTCACTCTCCTCCCTTCAGTCTTGGTATAGTTAACCAGTTTGACTCTACACTTGGGACTTCCCTTTTCTTTTGACTCTCTTGTTCCATTGGCCTGTCGCCTCACATGTATTGTTAAACTTGAATTGTGGTAACCTACACCATCTTCTTTCTGTGTTTCTATTCACTTGTTACTAAATGCCCATGAAGAATATCATACAATTCTGTTGACTGAGGCTAGTACCTTGTTATTAATTTCAGTTATATACATACCCCTTTCCCTGCCTCAGCAAAGTTCTTACTTTACTTAGAAAATTGAGGCCTTAGTCATGAATTTCATCCACTCCTGTTTCATACATCAAAACCTTTCTAGTTGCCTCAACCCTCTCACCCCTTTTTATTATTTGTTTCAGTCTCTGAGATGGGTGGTCCTTCTCCTTACAAAGGCTCTACCTTGTGGTCTTAATCCCATTCCCTTCTTTTTCCTTGAAGATGTTGCCCTTTTAATCATTTCCTCATTTTCTGGCTTCATCCTTCTTGATCTCTTGGTGGCTTTCAACAGTGTCAGCCATCTTTTCCATTTGGATACCATCTTATTTCTCAGCTTTCACAATGCCACTCTGTCTCCTGGTTTTCTCCCATAGGTCTGAACATTTCTTCTCCTTCTTCTTTGTTGGCTCATCATGATCCATCTCTTGCTTCCTGACTGTGAGTGTCTGTCAGAACTCTATCCTAGCCCCTCCTTTCCTTCTGTTGATGAAATCATCTTGACTCCCACATATATAAATCCCACTCTAATCTCACTCCCAGACTCCAGTTTCATGTTGTCAACTGCTCACTAGACATGTCCATTTGGATGTGCTGTTGGTATTTCAAATTCATTATGTCTAATAATCTTTGCTACTTCCAAAAACCCTGAACAAGTTCTGATATAATAGAATTCAGCCTTTTCTGACTAAAGAGAGCAGCAGATGCCTTTTCTTGAAGGCGTCTCCATCTTTTTTCCACCCGGCTTCGTAGCCTTGATTTTTCTGTTTCTCTTGCCCCCTTAGCTATAAGCTAATTAGTTGCCAAGTCTGTCTCCTTGATGTGTGTCACATCTGACCCTCTCCTTTTTAGTTGTCCTCCTCCCCACCTCCCACCTCCCAGGTCAGGCCCTTCTGCCTACAATGCTAAATACCCCTTCCCCCTTTCCTTTATATATCTGTTCAAATAATCTTTAGCACAGATCTGATACTTCTCTCCCTCTTCCAGATCCACCCCCCTCCCCCTTACTCTGCCCCAGTCCAACCAGTGGCTTCTTATTGACTCTAAATTAAAATACAGACTCCTTAGCTTGTCATTTAAAGGCCCTTTAACCTGCCTTTCCAGACTTAATAAATATTCCTTTTCTTCAGGCACTCTGTGCTTCAGCCTCTATTTGCTGTTCCCTGAATTTGAAATTCTATCTCCCTCCTCCATGATAATGCACACCCTATCCACTTCATGCCTGGAATGCATTCTCTATTCTATATAAACCCTTTTCTGATTTCTCCAGTTAATGTTCTCTTCATTTTTGGATTATCCTGTATTTACAACTCTTTACACATTATATCCCTCATTAGAAGGAAAGTTCCTTCAAGGCAAAAACTGTTTTTCATTCTTGTCTTTGTAACCGCAGCACCTAGCACAGTGCTTTTGTACATAGTAGGCATTTAATAGCTATTTTTTAAACTGAATTGGTTTGAATTGAGTGTAGTGAAATCCTTAGCCCACGTCATTCTGGATTAGTACCTATAAAGTTGAGCTGCAAAATACTGACTTTGTGACATTTGGCAAGTCATTGACCCCCTCAATTCTCCAGGTAACTCTGAGACTTGAAGTTGCAGGTTGGATACAGATTTGCCTTGGTACGAGTTTCCCATGCCAGTGAAATCACAGAAGTGATCTTTTAAAAATGACCTTCAGTTAGTACTTCATAGTTTACCACAGCCTTACTTCCCCCTCAAGTCATTTTGTATATGCTTGTTTTGCATGAACTTACGTGTTTATAAAAGAATGTAAGCAAGCCCCTTGAAGGCAGGGGCTGTTTCCTTCTTGTCTTTGTACCTCCAGTGCCTGGAATACAGTAGGCACTTAATAAATTCTTGTTGATTGATTAAAAAAAAAAGTTGGGCTGATTTTATACTCATTTTCAGAGGAGGAGATGGGCAAGAAGCTTTTCAGAACACCTTTCTTTTGTGAGAAGGATGGCTTCCTACCTAGATTCTGAAAGACATAATAAGATTTAGAAATAAAATTAAGATGAGATAAAGGACATGGTTGATAAACTGTCTTGTTTAGTTGAATGACAGTTTCATCTCATGATGATGATGATGATGACGATAATGATTGGTGGGGTGGGGGCAGATCCTGCTACTTTCCTAATCAAAGCATTATTTTAGGCTTATTGTTTTGTCATTTAAAAAATCTGATACATTTTAAGAGCATTTAAGTGTTAGAACCAATTGAAATATAGTTGAATTTGGTCTAGGAAATTTTTTTTTCATTTCATATGCTTAACTTTCTGAGTGTGTTTGTTTTCCAAATTTCTAATTTTCTAAAGGAGAACATGGACAAAATGAAAAAAAAATCTTAGAACTTTTAGTAATTGAGCACAGTCAGGTTGGGCCTTTGATTTCATTTTGGGCCCCTGCAAACAAAATGCCAGGTACTGTGTATCATAAAACTTTGCAGTTTTTTTTGGGTCTCCTAAAATTAACTAGAATATTCTTACCTATGACCTGCTTTGCTTTGCTTTGCTTAATTTTAATTCTGTTCATTGTGTTTTACAAATGAGAAGTCAAGTGGAGAACTTGGTTTCAAAAGGCCATCTAATTTAGAGGATTTTATTTTCACTCTTAAAGACAGTGAGTTTCTTAAAAAGTAATTTGATTATAAAATTTGGTATAGGTTTTCCTGCCATTTGTAGTCAGGAGAGACCAGGCTGTGTCATATCAGGAAATTGTATGATGTTTTTAGGATACTTTGAATTATAATAATGTCACCTCAAGCCTTTAAAATCTATGGTTGTATTCTGTGCCATAAACAAAATATTATTTAAATTTTTTGCTGTTTAAAAATTTTAATTCATGTAAATATGAAGATGCATCATTACAGCATGCAATATGTCATCAACTTCGGCAGAAGTCTTATTGATATTAACTTAGTTGGAGAGGGGGTTATTCTGTGGAAGCTCCTAGCAAAGAGATTGAATATTCTATTAATATAAGAATTTAGTGCTAAATACGACCTGGTCGTTACCATTTGGCTTCAGAAATGTGCTGAATACTAGTAGAAGGTAAAACTGCAAATAGCATCTCAGAATTTATTGTCTGAATTAAACAGGCAAGACTTTTAGGAAAGATAGGAATACCTTCAGAGAAAAAAAAGGCATTGCTTTGCCTTAGGTATCTAGGATAGGTAGTTTTCTTAGATTTTTTTTTCTTTTTTGATTATTGGGTTCACATTAGACTCATTAGAAAACAATAGAGCTTCCAAGGTGTAAGGAAGCAAGGCAATGAATATGTCATATTATGAGTAGAAAGTTGGTCCTGACAGCTTATTCGGTTTTAAAATTAATTAAAAGTTGTTAGTATGAAATGCACATTAATTCCATATCTGGAAAAGAAGTTTTTGGGGATCATTACTAAAAATGCCATAGACTAGTTGACATGTGTATGAAATGATTTGACTCCTAAAAAGCCATTAGTAAGAGATCTCTACTGTAAGGTCGGAGGATCATACAATTAGTACTTCTCTAGAAGGCACCTTAGACATTATCTAGGTGAACTGTTCATTTTTGAGCTGAGGAAACCTGGCCCAGAGGAGGAAGATGTGCCCAAAGTTGTAGCAGGTAGTCAATATCAAGGCCAGGATTAAAATCTAGGACTTCTGACTCTAACTCTAGTGCCTTTTCTCATACACCATGCTGCCCCCACAAATGCCTTGCCTGTTCTTGTATTTGATTTGGTTTTCTGGATTCTGGGCAATCGCCATAGAGGTTGAAATGAATAGTGAAGTCGATGAATTTGGAGCAACTATGTCACTACTTAACTGAGTGAGACGATGTCTATAACTTATCTGAGGTGAGCAGTGAATGAACTTTCTGTACTTCAAGGCTCCATAATTTCATTGGTATGAGTATTCTTTTCACCTATGAATGAATGAATAAAAATTCATTAACTGCTTACTCTGTACCAGGTGTGGGTTCTACCACAGACACGGTGCCAGACCTGCATTGGTATAGGAAGTTTCCTCATCTGAGAGTTCCCTAAATCAATGAAATCATATGTCCTGTCCCTGTCCCTGTCCCCAGTGCCAGGCACTGTGCCAAATTCTGGGAACACAGATATGAAAGTAAGCTACTCCCTGACCTTAAGAAGATTGCATTCTTACAGTGGGAGACAATACACAATATATAGGAGTGGTGGCCAGGAAAGGACGTATCTGGGGAGTCATAGGGGTGGTGATCCACAGAGCAGCCGATTAGCAAGCCAACTCCAGGACCATTGGTAGGACTGGCAGGATTTTTGTGTCAAGAGCAAGAGGTGGAGGTACATCGTGTTGGTAGGATGAATGGCATGGGTGGCGTATCTTCATATGGTCTGATGATTGTGTTTGGGGCTGTGGCCAGCTAGATATAGTAGGTTCGTTTGGTTTACATCCACACAGCAGTCCAAGCAACAAGACCCAAGGAATGGGCTTTCCAGTGCTGAGTAGATTAACTAACCCAGGGATTTCGTAGAGATGTTTTGTGGAACTGCGGTCTGTATAGATAACATTCCCCTGAATACATTGAAGTAGTACTTCAGTTGAGGTTTATTTATTATAGCTGGATTAAAATGGAATTGTAACAGAAATTATACAGCAGGAATAAGACTCTTTGAATTCCTAGGCTATTTCCAGAGAGACTGTGCAACGCAATAAAAAGGGAGAAGACATTTTAAGTTATAGCCATGATAGTATACCAGTGTGTTGGTAATTTTTAATTAGCCCATGTATATTATCTATATATTATCTAAGGCATTGTTACTTACAGGCTTGGTTAGATGACCCAAAAGCCACATCCCCCTTTTACCTGGGGTGAAAAATCCCCTGGTTTATAGTTAGGTGATCTAATTGGCAGTTAACCAAAGTAGGATTTCTATTTAGTAAATCAAGTATTGCATTTGCAGCAAGGAGTGCAAACTCCATACAGATTACTAACATGTAAACTTAGGGAACCTGAAACCTTGGAAGTTATGGGAAGCTCTTTATTTCATTTATTTTGGTAAGGATATGCAGAGTTAAATAAGAGAATCCTGAATATGTGGCTTACCAATGTGGAAAGACCCTTACTTTACTTAAGTTTATAGATAGACCATATTATATATAATAGGAGAGAAAAAAATAAAGTGATAGAAGAGCTAGGTATTTTTGTCTTCCTAGAGCTCAGCATGTCTAATATTTCTGGATTCCCTTTGGAAAGCGGTGGTATATGCACAGGAATTTGGTTTTGACTAAATGAGAATAAACTTCTCCTCCTCACCCCCACCATTTCCCCCCCAAATCACCAGAGGTGCTCCTGAGTGTCGGACAACTGCTCCAGACAAATGGTCGCCTCTGCGTTTCCGAGTTTAGATAGCAGTATTTCTGTAAGAAACTGAGCCCAGAAGAATGTTCATGTGAAAAAGAATCTTAAAATGCCCTTGTCATCTCCCGCTTGTTCAGTCAACACTATTTTTATGTCTACTTAAGTGTGGAAAACCAAGAAACGACAAGCTTAATACCAAACTGTTCACAGAATTTAAAATGTATATGTTTGGCGGGTAGGGGGTTCGAATCTCTTTCAGACTTCTCCACTGTTTACACTGAACTCTGTTTCTTCCACCAGTGAGAAAAAGAAAGAAAAAGAACGTGAAGAATTGTGGAAAAAACTGGAGGACCTGGAGTTAAAGAGAGGTCTTAGACGTGATGGAATAATTCCAACTTAACAACAACACCAAAATGACAACAGCATTATTAACCTGTGGAGTCACACATTTATGTAGTAGAAGATGGAGCAACAGTTTTCTGTATTGTGCAACTTTACAGTAGATTTCACATTTGTTTCATTATTACAACAGCACTGTATATACCTGTCTCTAAGTAAAGGAAAAAACAATAAGGACTTAAATCCAAAGTTTGGATAGTAGATGGACTTCTCAGAACTTGGCAAACATAATCATTGTTCTAACCCTACTTTAAAAGCAGTCTTCAGAGATCTGTTGATAAAATTGCTATGTTAAAATTCCGTTGTCAGGAGTTCCTTATTTATCATTAGCAGAGAGTATGATACAATTTTCAAATGTGAACAATCTTAAATTTAGCTTGTCTTTCTGCTAAATTGTTAAATGTATTTATAGTAAAAGGAAAAAAAAAAGACTGTCATTTCCTTATAAGTTTGTGTAACATCCTCCTTCTCTGGATAACTTTACTGTAATTTGACATCTTTTCCTTTTGCACATCTTCATAAGTTGAATGTCCACAAAGAACAGGGCCGTGAATACACAGGTTCCTGCAAAGGTTTTGTTGTGTGAGCGAGCATCTTTCCAGTAACCAGGCTAGGCCTCATACTCCTTCAGTTTTCACATCAGGAGTAAAACATAGAGAGGTGATAAACATGGTAGGGAAGGGAATTTTGGATTCATGCATTAGTTTATGATGGATCCAAATCAATGTCTTGAATCCTTTTGAAAACAGGCACTGGTACATCACCGACTTCAGTACCTATTCAGTATTAGTTATGTGCATCATTGAACACATATCCCAGAGCTGTTTTCGTAATGACTGAAATACATCTTTTTGGACCACTTTGAGATAATAAAGACAAACACTAACCAGTATATCCGTGAAATTGATCTCCAGGGATTGCAGATCGAATTGGAAAAAGAGTTGAGCGAACAGTTTGGACTGTTTGGAGTTGTTGCCTTACTTTTTAATATGTATTTATAAAGTATTCCAGCAAAAGAGGAAGTAGCCTCTGGAAAAATGTTACAGTGTTTTTGTAGACTCTAGTTGAATTTCTCATCCCAGCGCCAGCCCTGTTTTTAGCTGGAAAGGATTCAGGATAACATTATTATGCATTCTGAATCAGATGCTTATTCCTAACTACTGTATTTGTTACCAAAAATGGTTCTACAAATGCTACTGAAAAAAAAATCTGGAAATTCCTTATGTCCTGAGTATTAATAATAAAGTTTAAAAATGCTTTTATATCAAAGGTGCATTGTGACCAAATTGTTTAAGGAAAAATAACAACAAAAAAAAGAGAGCTGTATCACAAAGTATACGTCATTGGCTACCTGCTTTGTACTTAAAAGTGAAATCTTGAATCTTTGGTAGGTAAAATGCTAATATGATTCATGTGTAGTATATATTTAGCTAATGCAGTGGCATTATTCTATACCGAAAGGTATGTATTGCAGGATTTTTTTTCCCCCAGGACTCTTTTGATCTGTTATAGACGTGATAACAGTGAGTTGATAATCCTAAATGATTAGTCCCAGCAGTATTTACAGTATAGAGCAGATTCTGTGTTCATGCATCTAATTGTGGTAGTTACAAACATGAACATGTGAACTATTGCCCTTTGATGGGAATACAGTATAAATAATGGGCTTGTATATTTTCCTTCCTCCATTTAAATAGGTAGTAGAAGATAGTTTTCTTGTTTCCAAGCCAAAAAAAAAAAAGTGGGGATGGATAGAGAGGGCAGCCCTATCCTCCCTCCCAGGTTACATGTTTCAGGATTATCAGGTCATAGTTTATACGTGAATCAGCCACATATGAATATCGTCATCTCAGCAACCTTGTAAAAACTTGACAATGTTAATCCTGAAAATGAAATAGCAGTAAACTAGTCGTATGCAACACCAAAAATAACATGGTTTAATGGGATTACTAGAGATGTTTTTAAAAAAAAAATCAATGGGAGATTGATAGAAATTTGGCAGAGGCTGCCAAAGATCATACAACTTCTTTTAAAATACTGGAGAAAAGGTGCAAGCTCAAATACTAAAGATAAAAATAAATTTATAACAAACCATCTCCTTTAGCCCCTTTGATTTGAATAGCCTTTGATTTCTACTATGCATTATGATTATTTTTGGTAGTGTAATCTTATATTTACAGTTAACATGCCTTTGAAGACTGAGGACGTTAAATTCATGGATGAATGAACTAATAATCTCTGCCCAATGAAATGAAACGCAGTCATTTGAAATTTTAAAAGGCAAGGAACCTTTCTTGCACCGGAGGTAATGACTTCATACAGATTATTCTCAGTGTCCACTTGATATGTTGATACCTACACTGAGAAAAACGGAGACGAATATTAGACCTACACGAAGAGTTGGTCACATTAACCCGCTGCCTTTAAGTGGCAGCATATCTAAAACTCCTAGGGCAATTTCTGAGAAGAAACACTATCTTTTCACTTTTTTTTTTAACTGAAAGAGACAATGTGACCTTTGTCATGTTGTGTCCAATGACGCAGAATAACCGAGGTAACCCGACTGTTGCACTATGTGACATACTTAAGGACGAACTTGCTGCATTTGCAGCAGCCCTCCTTGTCCCTTCCCACAATCCTGATCTTTGCTGCAACTCAGTTGTGATGAACGCATCTCATACTTTTGTTTGCTTCATAATTTCCAGAACTATATATAAATATATTTTTTAAAGAGCAAATATCGTAGTTAGCGCGTGGTCACTCACTCCCTTGTTCCTACCATATTGGTTTCAGGATGAGGGTTGAGAGTGTCTTCAGAAGAGGACTGTGGCCTAGATAAAAAGGCATTAGGTTGTGGGCATAGAAAAACCATACCCGTGAATATTCCCATGTCACGTTTAATCAAGCATGCATTCCTTTTCACATCTTGCGATTTTCCCCAGTTGTTTTCCTGTCACTTTTTGGGTTTTTTGTTTTTGTTTTGATCTCCCAAACATATGAGTGGGTTGGGTTTTTGTGGTTGTTGTTGTTTTTTGGCTTTTTTTTTTGTAAAAAATACAATAAAAAATTTAAAAATAAATGAATCAAAAATACTCTTAATGCCGCTGGATACTCACGAGCAGGGTTACACTCAGTTCATCTTGGATCTGTTTGCATAAATAGAAGGGTTTAATTTATTTTGTACCTCCTTCTATATGTGGAATCAGGCCAGGGTGCAGAGCCAGGAATTGCTTGCATTTGCACCTGCTGTAGCTGTTGAGTATAGAGCAGGCTCAATCACACTATGGAAAGAAAAAAAAAAGTATATTTAGAGCTTTAAAAGCTTTTTTATTTTTTTGTGGGGGGTGGGGCGGGGCCAAGGGGAAGATGTATGGATGTTTATTAGCATGTAAAAACATGTTTGGTTCAGGTTAATTTTTTTTCTATTTTTAATTTTAATTTTCCAAATTGGGTGCACCAACTTGTCCCAGAAAGTGGAGTTATCTCTCTTTCGATGCTATTACCAATGTCATCACAAAGTGACAGTCACCTGATAGCAAAAAGAAGGTGACGGCTAGACATGATCAAATGATGTTTTATTTGCACATGGATATTTTTATTTTTATATTCTGGTTCAACCAGTTCTCCTAATGGAGATAGGAGGCGAGCCACAAAGGATTTTTCTAGTAGGTATTGGCAATGAATTTTATATTCCTCAATATCTAGTTTTGAAAGTCTAAAAGGACTGCGCAACGTGGAGGCAAAATTGAGCAAATTTTGATTTAACAGAATATCAATTCACAGACTGCTTCTTTGTCCACTGAAGCAGCAATTATCTGTTTAGAAACAAACATCCTATATCATGATTTGTATGAATATAGGTCTCCTTTTTTTTGTGATTGCTTACTGTAAATAAGTTGTAATCCAAACCTCATGTACCAATGAGGAGTTTTCAAATATAAATATTATCAATAAATTTCTTGTCCTATTTTTGATTGTAGTGTAAAGAATGACATGTTCATGCTTTGGTTAAAGGATTTAGCATTAGCTTTATCTTTTGGTATGTTAGCATTTCATTGTTTCAGCAGGAGAGGGCAGCAAACGTTCATTTTCCCCCTTAGAAATGCTGTGGTCCGTTAGGTTTTTTTTTTTTAAATTTCATCTATTTGTGGGTAGAAATAAAATGAAACTTTTTTTGATATGAAAAGTTGCATATGAAAATAGAGACTGGCCTGACCAGACAGCGAAAATCTTCTGTTCCTCATCAGATGTTAAAAGAAAACGCCACAGAACAATCTTCCGGCTAAAGTATAACCAGAGTATGTATGCTACTTCCTCCTGAGACCGACAACCAAGTCGAGTGTTTATACCCATGGGATTCCAAAATGTCATTCTTTGGAAGTGATTTACTTTCTTCAAGATGGTAACAAGGACAAAATGACTGGTGCTCCCAAATATCAATGTAACCTTCTCCTTTCACGAGTGTGTGGAGGGCTCTGTACTGTGGGTGCATCGAAATAAAGAAGCAATGACGAGTTTCCAACTGCTCTACTGATTTTGTTCCCGCGTGACCAGGCGGAGGGTGTGGGTGTGGGTGCGGGTGGGTGGGTGGGTGTTCTGCAGTGTTCTCGTGGCAGGACTCAGCAATTTGGGTGACGCGGTTGCTCTGGAGACAACACCTAGCTGGGGGAACATTGGCCAGGTTCGTGGGGTGAGTTTTCCTCTGACCTCATGCTCTCCCCTTGGGGTCATAGAGGCAGCTGGTGTAGAGCTCGTGGTCAGGATTCAGGAGTCGTGAATTCAAATCCTGCCTCAGACACTTGCTAGCCGTGTGACCCAGGGCAAGTCATTTCAGTCTCTTTGCCTCAGTTTCCTCAGTTGTAAGATAGGGGGAGGGGGAAATAATAGTGCCTACTTCAAAGGGTTGTTGTGAGTATCAAATGAGATATTTGTAAAAGTGCTCAGCACAGTGCCTGGCACATAGAGTAGGTGTTTAATGCGTGTTTATGTGAGGATCAAATGAGAAAACATTTCTAATAACACTCAGCCTGGCAGGTAGTTGGTGGTTAATGCATGCTCACGTAAGAATCACAAAAGATAATACTTGTAAAAGCAGTCAGCACAGTGCCTGGCAAGTTCAGTCATCTTCAATCCTACCTGATTCTTTGTGACCCCATTTGAATTTTGGCAAAGATACTGGAGTGGTTTACCATTTCCTTCTCCAGCTCATTTTTACAGATGAGGAAACTGAGGCAAACAGGGTCAAGTGACTTGCTCACACTCACGTAGCTAGTAAGTGTCCTAGGCCAGATCTGCTTCTTGATTCCTGACCCAGTATCCTATCCATTGCACCACCTAGCTGCCCCTGGCATATATAGTAGATGCTTAACTATTCACATGTTCATATGAGGATCAAAGGAGAAAATTTTTGTGCAAATGCTGGGCACAGTGCCCAACACATGGTGCTTAATATATGCTCATTTCTAGCCCTTTTCAGTTTAGGATGACCTTGACTGCTTTTGCCAATTTTGAATTGTACCCCAAGCTCCAACAGACACCTGTTTAATCCTGTTTTGTGTTTTTGTGTCCTGTTTCATTTTAATCATTTGGGAAGAGAAAACCCTTCCTAAATGAAACTGTTCTATGTTCATTTCTAAACTACCAAGTATTAGTTTTCAGACACTGCTATTTGTAATGTTCAAAGACAACAGCTTGTAGTGATTTAGAAGTGGAAACTTTATGTAGGGCAAGGTAATTCAGTAAAGTCAGCATAGTATAGTGAAATGAGTGCTGAGTTTTGAGGCAGAGTAACGAACTCACATCCGAACTCAGCCACTTATAATCTGTGTAACCTTGTTCAAGTGACTTCACCTCCCAGGGCCCTTATGTCCTCATCTGAAAAATAAAGAGGTTACTCTAGCTGACCTTGGTGGTCCTTTCTGGCTCTAGATATTATCACAGAAGCAGATTTATTTTCAGAGTTTGAAGGTATGTTTCCTACCTTGAACAGCTTCCCTCAAAAACCAAATCCAGCTATCCCTTTTTAGAGCCGTGTGTCATAACTCACATTCCACATTAAGGAGCTGCTGGTGGGGTAGGGGGATAGAGATTGTGTTGGGCCAGGTTCCCGTGTTTTTATCTGTGCCATGTATTCTCTCTTAAGATAAAACCCTTTAAAAGTGAGTCTACTGTGCAGTGTGTCTGAAAGGGAAGTATTCTGCTGCTTACTTAAACCAGGCCTTTGGTTTCTTCAGTATCAGGGCACGAGGCTGGGATCTGGCACGAGGGCATATCAATCCATTTCTCCGGTAGATGCTTATAACTCCTGTCATGCAGGTGGAGGTGTGAGGCCTCGATGTAGATACTGGTTCTCACCTTCTTGGCATGTGGAAAACCTTAGCTGACCCTCACTGGGACAGTTTGTGCTTGGTTTTACAGAGCTAATCTGCTTAATTTGACAAATAATTTATTAATCACCGTGTGCCAGGCATTCCTAAGTACTGGGGATAGAAATACAACCAAACAAGATAGTCTCTGTCCTCAAGAAGCTTACGTTCTAAGGGAGGAAAACAACATATAAATGGAAAAAGGGGCTGCAAGTCACTCAGTGAGGAGAAGGTGGGAAGAGGTGAAGAAGCCTGGGCCCTCATAAAATGAGGCAAGAGTTCACTGGGAGCCCTCAGTGGAGTGGATACGTCAAACCGCTTAAAGGAGAGTTTTATGCTTTGGTAAGCTCCTTGAGGGCACAGGCTAGTTCTTTTTTGTCTTTAAATCACCCACCATTAGTGTAATGTCTGGCACAGAGCAGGCACTTAATTTATAATTTGGTTTTTTTCCAATTACATATAAAAATTTTTAACATTTAAAAAAATCTTTGAGTTCTGAATTCTCTCTCTCTTTCCCTCCCCTCCTACCTCATTGAGAAGGCAAACAACACTAATGAATTACAACTCCTCCTTGCTAGGCTTAGTAGGTGTTCTTGAAGTTCTTGGGTGGAAAAAAAAAGTCACCTGGTGATCAGTCTTCTGATGTCAAGTCTCTCCAAACTGTAATCAAAGTTTTTCCAGCTTGTTAGGCCCTACCAAAGTTTGCACTTCACTGGTGTAGCCTTTAAGAATACAAGGTCAACTTTGTCCAATGACGAGGTATCAGAGTTGAAATTTATTGGAGGGACAGGTTCATATACTTCAGATGTTTTGCTTTCTGGGTACAGTACATTGACTGCTGACTTCTTGCCTTAGACTAAAAAACTAAGGCATTAATAAGTGAAGCAGCTGGTTAGTTGATAAGCCTTAAACTCAATGCCAAACTTTCTCTTGGAGGGTCTATAAAAACCTTTTTCGGTAACTAATGTTTATCTACTTGCAATAAAGCTGTCTAGCTAGTATATCGTTGCTTACCTTTAAGAGGCAGCTAGATGGCCCAGTGGATAGAGTGCTGGCCCTGGAGTGAGAAAGATGAGTCTTCCTGAGTTCAAATCCTGCCTCAGAGATACTTACTAGCTGTGTGACCCTGAGCAAGTCACTTAACCTTGTTTGCCTTTGTTTCTTCATCTGTAAAATGAACTGGAGAAGGAAATGGCAAACCACTGTGGTATCTTTGGCAAACAGAGTCATGAAGAATCAGACACAACTGAACAACAGGGTAGCACAGTGGATAAAATACTGGGCTTGGAGTCAAGAAAACCTGAATTCAAATCCAGCCTGAGACACTTACTAGCTGTGTGATCCTGGGTAAGTCACCTAACCTCTTTGCTTCAGTTTCTTCAGCTGTAAAATGGGGATAATAACAGCACCTACCTGACAAGGTTTTTGCAATAAGAATTTAGGCTAGTAAATAGAAAAAATCAACTTCCTGACTATTAAAGTTGGAAGGGGGTCTTAAAAATTCTGTTATGTCTTTCTGTCTCTCTCAGCTCTCCCCTGCCCCGACTCCAAATTCCAACCTTCTTTCTTCCCATAGGCAAGTCCAAATGAATCAACCTCTTCCAGGTAATCTTCTAAATAAAAATCTTTAATCTTTGACAAAAAATCGTTTCTGAACGAAAACTTTAAAGACACTTTGTACTACTTCAAATGCTCTCCTCCAAATTATGTCTTTAGTGTAGCCTCAGCTGGGACAGTTGCTCTTTGCCACAGACAAGATGCCTCTCCCACACACGTGAAGAATAGGATTAGTCCGGAGGAAAAGACTGAAGGGAGATGTGAATAAACCCAGTTGCTCGACTCTTCACATCATGCGTCAAAGATCCAATTCTTTAAGTCCGACCTAATTCTTTAATACAGTTCTCAATCTAGAACAGGGTCTCTGCAAAATCACTGGTCTCTGCAAAAAATGTACATGGAACATCCACCCAGTCAAAACTAGCATTCTCCATCCATGAAATGTCATGCAGGGTTTTCCGAGAGGACCTCTGGATTGCATGTTTGTCTTGCAATGTCCTCGGAAAACTCTGTCAATGATTAGACAGGATAAACCCCACAGAATCCGTTCAGATAGCAGGGGAAAAGAGACTGGGGGAGAAGCCATTCAAACTTTGTCTTCTTTCTTTGTGCCTTGTCTCCTTCTCCTCAGCCTCTTCAGAAACCATCTGGACCTCCAAAGCCCACCTTGCCCTCCTTGGCCACCAAAGCCTGCACAACCATCGAGGCCAGGACCTCCAAAGCCACTGGGTTTGGCCCAGTCCAGAGTCACTTTTTCCCCCCATCAATCTTCCAAGGCCTCTTTTACAGCTTCTTCTGAGTTCAAGTCCACAAAACTGAATCCTTTAGATGACCGTCTCCTTGTCTATGATTATCCCGGCACCGAAAGAGCCATGAAATTAATCTTTCAATGTTTCTTCTGTCACAAGAATTCAAAGCTTCTTTTGTCTTGTATTGATCAATGTAGGTAAGTCTTTCACAGTTGATCATCATTACCACATTACTGACAGTTAATCATCATTACAACATTGCTGTTACTGTGCACAGTGATCTCAGGGCTCTCACTTCACTTTGCATCAGTTCATATGCTTTGCCATATTTTTCTGAAACCAACTCCCTTGTCATTTCTTTTTTTTTTTTCCCCAGGCAATTGTGGCTAAGTGACTTGCCTGGGGTCACACAGCCAGTAAGTGCTGAGTGTTTGGTCTGAGGCCGGATTTGAACTCAGGTCCTCCTGACTTCAGGGTCGGTGCTCTATCCACTGCGCCACCTACCTGCTCCTCCCCTTGTTATTTCCTGTAGCAAAGACTAGTCCATCACAATCATATGCCATAGTTTATTCAGTCATTCCCAATTGATAGACATCTCCTCACTTTCTAATTCTTTGCAATCTCAAAAAGAGCTGCTGTAAACATTTTTATGCACATCTCTTTAGGGTACAGACCTACTAGTGGTATTGTTGGGTCAAAGGGTATCCATAGTTTTATAGCCCTTTGGTCATAGTTCCAAATTGCTTTCCAGAATGGTTGAACCAGTTCACTACTCTACCGGCAGTTTATTAGTGTTCCTATTTTTCCTTCCTGCCCTCTAGCATTTGTTATTTCTGATAGGTGGGA